CGGCATTTTTTTGTCAAACATTTGGGCCCTACCGAGTTACCAAGTTCAATTATTGATTGCTGGGAACTCGTATTCCGAAACATTCTTTTTTTCCGCTTCCTCTTCCTCTTCTGTTGCACACGCCTTTGTGTGGACTCGCCTCAAACTGGTTTCAATTTCATGGGGAATGTGTCTGTGCTGCAGCAATAATTAGAACTTTGTTGGTTGCAAACAAAAGGAAAAACGCAAACCCACACCGAAATCCTGTAAACGGCGGCTTGGCAATGGAAGCTTGTTTCCTACCTCCATCTCCCCCACCACGTTGCCTGGCCACTCTGGCGTGATTTCTGGACCCTAACGAAATGTCTTGGGTTTATAAGTTGCACGATTGCAGATATACGCTCAGATATTTTGCGGCTAAGGAATCAAACGTGCGTGCCAGCCCGCCACTTGCCATGTGATTGCTGAAACGGCCGTTGGTCAATAAGCTTTTGCTAGACCTTTTCTTGTGCCTAAGTACATCCATAGCAGAGGAAGGAGGGCTCAGAAGGTGACTGAGTAATGCACCTCCCGGTGCCCCGGCTTCGAGTCCATGCGGCTAGTTGGAATCTGCGTCGAATATAGCCCCTAGTCTGCGCCATCGGCAGTAGAATGGGAACCAGCACTGACCAAGTATACAGCGAGCTTCAGACGGTAAAGGCCATTCCTTCACCTTGCTAATATTGGAAACTGGGACTAGATCTGGACCACCAGGAGCCGTCGAGCACTAACAAGGAAACAAGGTTATGGTCCTGTGCTGCCAAGCGGCTACATGCCACCAAGGCTGCCCCTTTTCGCACTGACGATGCAGCCATCACTTCCATCTTGGCCATGGCATCGCAGGGCAGTCTGGGGTGCGGGGAACGAATCCAGAAATGTGTCTGTCTGCGGTGTAATACCTCTTGCCATGTCAAAACCATTTTCCCCTCTTCTTAATGTACATACATGATACACATCAAGCACATCACAGCGATCTACCTACCTACATGACGCATCGACGCAAACACCTGGAAGCCTCCAAGATACTTGAACGCGCAAGGCATCTCATCAAGATGATGGATAGCCATCAGGTACCCGCACGCAGCTATGTCCCCGGGCGGGCGTCCGCATGCCAAGGCACGCCAGACGCTGTGGATCTCGGCCGAGCCGAAATCATCGGACCCGGTCTCTCTCTCGCGTTGCGCATGGTCCACGAACCTTCGTCTCACGGTCCCCTCACAGCTCCCAACCTGCACTCGCTCCTTTGTTTGGCACTTGGTGCGCATTATCGTTGCCACTCGCCTACTACTACCCCTCTCTCTCTCATGCTATTACTACATATGCCTCTCCGCCTCGGTATCCAGCCTGCGTTGCGAGATGCACCAGACGCCGCCCTCCATGTCCCACTGCCCATCCCCCCGGCCAAGCGATTAATACTCCTTAAAAGCTAATCGCCCATCGCCACCAGTTCCAATGGTTTGAGATATCACTTACACTGCCTTACCTTACCTCCCCGGCGCATGGGATATCATTACCTCTGCTTCTTCTACCATCCCTTCCAGCTCCCGCTGTTGAAGGTCCCTCCGAGCTACCAGGCAGTTTCTTGCCTGTGATTTGCTCCTCCCCTGCGCTCTCAGCCCGTCGCTTACGGCTCCTCGACCCGACTGATACGTGCCAAATATGGCAGTCACTCGGGATATCACGGCTTTGTCTGCCGCTCTATCGCCGCCGCCGCGAGAGGGACCCGATGAGGACGTCGAGGCCACGGCCTTGGACGTGACCAAGCTGGAGGAGGTGGACGACCCGCAGGCCGAATGGAAGCCCGGGCCGCAAGAGTATGCCGTCATGGGCACTCTGGCCGTCATTTCACTGATGGTCGCCCTCGACGCCACCATTCTCGTGTCCGTCTTGCCAGTACGTTTCCTCACCAGATAACCCCACCATTTTTTCTTTGAAAAGAAGCAAAAGGCAAAAAGAAAAGAACAGAAAAGAAAGAAGAAAACTAACCAAGCCAAACCCCAAACAGACCCTAGCAGAAGACTTCGGCGGCACCACAACCGACGCCTTCTGGGCCGGCACGTCCTACCTCCTAACCTGCGCCGTCTGCCAACCCTTCATCGCGGCACTATCCGATATATTCGGACGCAAGGAGATGCTGATCATCTCGGTGCTCTTCTTCACGCTCGGCACGGTTCTCTGCGCGCCCATCGCCAAGACCTTTGCCGTCTTCTTTGCTGGCCGCTCGGTCCAGGGCATCGGCGGCGGCGGCATCATCACCATGGGCCAGGTCATCTTTGCCGACATTGTCCCCTTGCGGCAGCGGCCCAAGTATTTCTCCTTTGTGCTCGGTGCGTGGGCTTTGGGAAGTGTGCTGGGCCCGCTTATTGGGGGACTGTTTGTTGAGCATGTCTTTTGGAGTTGGTGTTTTTATGTTAATGTGAGTTATTTAGATCCCGGATCCTGACCCCTTTTCCCCGCGAATATTTGAGGGTTTAGTTGCTGACGAAAGGACATTTTGGTAGTTCCCGTTCTGTGCGCTGGGCCTGATCATGGTCCCGCTCTTCGTCAAGCTCAGCACCGAAAAGACATCCCTCGCCTCGAAGCTCGCGCGCGTGGACTGGATTGGCGGGTTCCTGTTCATCGGAGGCCTGACCGCCTTCCTCATCGGTCTGTCATGGGCGGGTGTCCAGTACAAGTGGAAGAGCGTGCAAGTCATTGCACCGCTCATCATTGGCGCAATAGGGGTCATGGCCTCGCTGGTCTGGGAGTCGCACGGTGCTCGCGAGCCGTTTCTGCGCCCGTCCTTGTTCTATTCGTCCTCGGCTGTGGCGGCGTATGCGTGTGCTCTGTTCCAGGGGCTTATTGTATGTTTACTAACTCCCCCCTTTTTTCAACTAAACCCCACTGACCATCAATCCCTCCCAGCTCTTCTGCGCCCTGTACTACGTCCCATTCTACTTCACAGCCGTGCGTTTCTCCTCGCCCACGCACGCGGGCCTAAACGTATTCCCAGTCACCTGCTTCCTCCTCCCGGGAAGCATCCTCATCTCGCTGCTCACAACCAGACTCGGCCGCTTCCGCTGGGCCATCTGGCTGGGCTGGCTACTAGCCGCCGTCTCATGCGGCCTGCTGGTCTTCTTCGACCAGAACACCAAGACGGTCGTCTGGGCCGTCATTCTGGCCGTCTTCGGCATCGGGCATGGAATGCTGCTGACCAGCATCAACGTCGGCATCCAGGCCATCAGCCACGTTGAGGACGCCGGCCGTGCCGCCGCCATGTACGCGTTTATGCGCACCCTCGGCATGTCGATTGGCGTCGCTGTCGGCGGGACCTGTTTCCAGAATCTCATGAGTGCTAAGCTTGATGAGCTGGGCTTGCCGCAGGATATTGCGCATAATTCCGAGGCGTTTGTGAGTACCATGGCGCTGATGGATCCCGATGATCCTGTCCGTGTTGGAGCGCTGGAGGCTTGTAAGAGGAAATCCATACCCCCACTCACTCCTACCGCATGACAGAAGTTGACACAGCAAACAAACAGATGTCCATGGCTTCCACGGCGTCTACTGGCTCATAACCGGCGCCGCCTGCGCTGCCTTCGTAATTAGCCTCATCATCGAGCGCCACAGCATGGACAAGATCCTCGCCTCCAAGTTCGTCCTGCGTGGAGGGAAACGCACCGCCGTTGTCGTGGACGGGGAAGTCATCGCCACGTCCCCTGTTGCCATCTGCACCGCCGTCGATGGCAGGACCGTCGTAGTGCCCGAGACAGGCAACGATCGGCTCTCGCGGCAGTTCAAGCATCCCACAAGCCCCGACTCAACCGAGAGCTCCCCTGGCGTCTCCCGCGACTCCGACTCTGATAGCGTCTATTCGCAGTCGGGTGGTCGGCAGGGGGGTGCCACGCAGCTCGCTAAAAAGGATGAGGAGAAGCGTGATGATGATGAGGCTATTCAACCTCCCCAGCCGCGATCTGTCTCGCGCCAATCTGAAAGTGTCAGCGTGACAGGCGTAGTAACACAAACCGCGAGAGCAACCCCCATCGCAACGGCCGTGGCAGTGGCGTACTACGTCGAACCAGGGGGCAAACGCGTCGACGTGCCGATGGAGAAACTGTCAGGCAGCACCGTGATCCCCGTTGCCACACAACCGTCGGAGAGGGACGAGTCGCCACATTCGTCACCTGCCTCCATCCCCGCCGACTCTGACTCCCCAGAGCTGTTACCCGAGATGGTCCAGCTCGAGTCGTTGGCCGAGATGACCAGACCGCAGGTGGAGTCGATATACGAGACTAGCACCAGCTCCTCGGCGTCGGATATGATGACGGGCCGGGACTCTATGTCGCAGAATGCCGAGTCGGAGGCGACAGCGCCGGAGGAGTACTTTGAGGCTGCGGCGGAGAAGGTCGAGTCGGAGGGGGAAGAAGTGTCTGGGCCTAGGCAGGCAGCTTCCAGGTCTGGGGATACCACGACGGGGGAAGGGGCGCAGATTGTTGAGCAAGAGTCGGAGATGGCCCGGGGTGAAGTTACACAACACAGCTCGGCACAAGAGCAGGGGGCGGAGAGCGCAGTTGCAGAGGACGCCGTGGAAAAGTCATTAGGGTCGGAAAAGAATGCGAAGCCGGAGTCATAATTATGGTACCCGATTAGTTATGGGACAGGGCTTTAAAGTTGCACTTTGCACGTTTCATACAAGTAAATACCCATTGTTTTGTTTTCACCTACCCACATTCTCTGTTATTCTTCATCACGTCATTGTAAAGATAGAGCATCAACAACAATAAAATATAATTGCATCAATTGCACACTGGCAGCTTGTCTCAATGGTTCACATGTAAAATTTGGTATGTTGTTCGTGAGGCTGGCTTGATATGGTGATGTGGTGATGTGAAGCTTCCTTTGGGCTTCAATATTCACGGCCACGACCGTGACGTCAGAGTAGAGCCTGGTCACCTACACGTACATGTAGATGAGTACCCACCCAAGCATCCATCAACAACAATACTGGGAAGGTGGCCGAGCGGTCTAAGGCGCCACGTTAGGGATACCCTTAATTTCATTCTCTCTCTCCACCGATAGAGAGAGCAAAAATCCGTGGTCTCGTAAGAGGCGTGGGTTCATATCCCACTCTTCTCAACTCTGTTTCTTCTGCAAACTTTGCAGTGTGATATCCACTGATCATGTGGGGTTGCATTTCTTTTTTGGACTCCATGTACCATGGCGACCAGTCACCTCGTGGGTAGATGTGGATGCTTTTCTTTTGTCGCGAGTCAGGGGAAGCAGCAGCTCAACCTGGAACCCCATCCCAACGAGGACGGTTCACGATATAGAAATACCGTTACCTATCACATTAGTTTAATCAGTTTGCTAAGCGACTAAAATTGCCCCGCTAATTCGATACCCAACCATTAACAACAATATAAGCACATATTCGACCTCGCAATAGCCCAGCAAAGGCTCAATGGGGCTGGCCGCGGGAATCTGCGCCCACTCGTCCCCATCTACATTGAGAAGGAACCTAAGGGACATCCGAAGACGGAGACAATGATATCTGCCGCAGAAAACACACAAATCAGTCAATGTTCTATGGGCAATGCGAGTATCAAAGTCAGAGGAACAACGTCACGTCTTTTTATTGAACGGCTTAGGCAAGGTACCTAGGTAGGTACCAAGGTATATCAGGAGCGTCTGCCTCCCTCTCTCCAGCTTTCTGATTCTAGTAATCCAAGCCCCTCTCACACCTATTTTTGACGCTTTCCTTGGTACTAAATAAAGATCAAATCACGTATGCAAAAATCTAGTTTTCCACAAAATGAAATCTAATTCAACAATTCAAGTAAGGTACCTAGCTACCTATATAGGTCAGGCAGGAAGGTATCCCTAAGCTAACATGAACATATAAACATAATCGTTAAAAAACATAAAAAGCCTAGACAGACAACCCGCGGGCTCGGCCGGGATCCAGACTTCCAGATCAACTCTCGTCGCGCAGTTTAGTAATTCCCCTTCGGGACTCGCAACAACGACTGGAATAGGAGACAGCTTCATACATGTAGTCTCCAGGAACGCGACAAGGAAATAATTAGCAATGGGAAACTCGATAACGCCTGGCCCTCATCAACAAACTCGAACGTGAACTTTGCAATCTCCCGTTTCGCAAATTCAACTCAACCCAACTCAACACAGCAGCCAACCGACGGGCCGTGTATTGCCCGGCCCGCAGTCTTCAACACTCACACCCCTCCAACCAACATACAACCGTCCAGCATCAAAGAGACGACAAAGACGGCCTCCGAACCTTCTCCCCGGGAAAGATAGTATCCCAAATCGACAACCACTGCTCCCTTGGCGACATAGCCGGGTCCGCCCGCCACCGCTCCAGATCACCCATCTCGTCCTCGCGCACACCCTCCAACGCGGCATCTGTTGGCGCTGATCTCTGGCAGGTGCGTCCGCGGATGTGGATGTCGCAGAGCACGCTGGCGTGAAAGGTCGCGAAGCAGGTGGGGCAGTAGTGTGGGCGTCGGTGGTGGGCTAGGATGTGTCGCCTTACGCTGCGGATGCTGCGCAGGTTGGTAGTGGTGGCGCAGCTGTGGTATTTTTCCGGGTGGAGGATGGAGAAGGGGCATGGGATGTATTGTACTTTGGGGGTGGTTTGTGTTGCTTGTTCTTGTGAGGGGGAGGAGGAGGAGGAGTTGGTTGGTTGTGGTTTTGGACGGCTTGGGAGGTCGGGGATGGTCCACTCTTCGATGTCGTCCTCGTCATCGTCCGAATCCGAGCCGTCCCAGTGCCGGGTTTCTGCTTCATCTGCATCTGCATCCTCCTCCGGATCCGAGTAGTAGTCCAATTCTCTGCCGTCCACGGTCGAGTCATCCGACTCTTTGTCGTCTATATTCGAATCGTCTGACGCTGCGCCGTCGTCCGCATTCGAGTCGTCTGAATCCCAGTCCTGATCGACACCCGCCGCGCTGGGGATTGATAGCCGGACCCAGGGATCGGATCCAAACGTATGTTTGTAGGTGGGGGTTGGGGTGGACTCGCTGGGCGTCGTGCTGGAGGTCTCGCAGCCGATGGTGGTGATGGCAGGGCTGCTCCTCGGCCTAGAGGAATCTGCGTCGCCGAGATCGATGGCGAAAGAAGCTGACTTGATCTCACTGCCAGGCTCCGAGTTTCCCATCAGATCACCAGAGCAAGAGTTGCGCCGGACCCGCTTGCCCGTCTCAGGCCATTCCCAACTATCCAAGCCACTCGTGCTCGTGCTCGTACCCGTCATGTCGGCATGTGGCCGTTTGGCCCCGGCGGATGTCGGGGCATGATCTTGCTCGACGAAGCGCAGCGCCTTTGACGACGCCAGATCGAGCGTGCGGCATGGCGGGTGCTGCCATAAGCCGAGTCGAGATCTGACCAGTTCCGGAGACACCGGACTTGGGCCCGGGGTCTGAGAATGCAGCTCGACGTTGGCGGTGATCCAAGACCGACTTTGGGAGATGCAATCAATCGTCATGGTGGCGGAGCAAAGTGCAGTAGCAAAATACCCCTACTGGCGCACGCGTTGTGGTGAAGATGGTGATTTTTCAATGGCTACATGAACCAGTCGTGGTGAAAGGGTTTACGCTGGGTAGAGATAGATCCTTTTTGCTCGCGAATATCGACAACATGGTCCATCGTGGGGTGGGAGAGCGAAGCCAAATATAAGGTCATGAATATGGCAATTTGCCTCCTGCATACGTTTTGCGAAACTATTGTTGCTCGGGTGCGTCATGAACCAGGCTGAAATGGTGCCCGGTGGAATGTATGCGACTCCTGTGGTGCGCAGTACGGGGCGCAACTGTGCCGATATCCCCGCAGATGACCAATCAGCGCCGTGGATAATCGGCAGAGCAATTCAACACCGTTGTGTAGAATTGCGAATGTGGGTGTTGAAGAAGATGGATCGGGTCTAGTTCACTTCAGCCCCGCAGCGTTAGGGGCTTGGCACCATCCAGCAAGGCGGTAGGGTGATATTTTCGATAGGCTTTACATTAAACTTACATACAAGGCTACCGCAACCGCGCAAAAATTAACGACGATAGTCTAACCTGTGTAGGTTAGGCACACAAGGGTCAGCACCCCTACTCACCACCAAAGCGAGCGTGATCGTCAACCTCGTCCCCTGCCTCCCGAGAATCTCCTGCCAAATACCCCTACCGCTCTAACCTGCGCGGGTTAGACTATCGTCGTTAGTTTTAAGCGGTTGAGATCGATGACGGGAACCATGATAAAGACCAGCGCCTTTGCCAACAGTATCCTGTACTACGTATTATAGGACTGGGATTGGTGCAGACGACTGACGCCGCACGCGTCTTGATTCTTCAACAGGTCTGGCCCTCCCCCGTCGGATGTCCCCGGCATGGAATGAATCCATGTCTGCCTGCATGTGCCTGTCCAAAGCCTTCCCACTGTCTTGCCTCACCTGAAACTACCAGGTACGGGATAAAACGTTTTGCCAAGACAAGGCCGGGTGCTCAGATTGCCGTCTTCGGTTCCCGAATCCCGGCGCTGATCAAGTTACTAACATGGTTAAACACCGGCCTGACCCGCATCCGAGTCACAAGCAGTACTTTGCGGAAATTTTAATCACATGTGTTTCCACCAATATCTCCCATATGCAAGGTCTTTTCTTTTTTTTCTTTTTTTTTTTTAGATTAGTCCGAGACAGGCACATCACATTTGACATGAGTGATCTGCCCACTCATATCCACACACACACACACAGAGAGATAGAGACACGCAGACAAACACCCACACAAATAAACCTACACAAGTGTGTTCAGCTTGCACGTGAAGCTCACATTCCCATTCCCAGACCACCCAAACACGTCACACCAACCACCTCCCCTGCAGCCTCATCACCACCCCCCTCACACAAAAAACTCCCCACACTCCCACCAATCGCCACCCTGTACCCAAGACTATAGTGTACACCACATCCGTGCTCTCAGCAGGCGGCACGCCCGCGCAGATATACAACCGCCGCAATGACGCAGGCGACCGCGCACGCAGGTACCTAAACAGCTCCGTGACACTTTCCTTTGTAATCTCAGGCTGCAGCGGCGGGGCGCCGTATTGCCCGAGTTCGACGCAGAGCGTCAGCCTGCTTAGACGCGGGAAGCCTGCCAGGATATCTAGCGTCGCCCGCGGCCAGTCGCTTGCAGGGCGCGCCATGTCGATGCTGAGTTCTTGCAGGTTTGGAATTCCGCTGCGGAGGATGGTGAGGTCGTGCGGGGTTATCACTTCGTCTGAGTCTGCCCATGAGGCGGCGGTGTGCCAGTCGCGGAGATGGATTTCTAGTTTATGTAGGGTTTGCCCGTGTCTGGTGGTGATTCCCTCTGCGCCGCCGGCGTAGGCGAGTTTGGGGATGCTGATTACTTCTAACGTGGAGGGGAGCTGGGCAAAGAAGTCCTGCATGAGGGGGATTTGTTTCGGTGCGCAAGCGGGGAATTTCACCTCCTTCAGCGCCGTTAGGTTTGAAGCAAAGTGAGGCGAGAAAGCAAGGCGCCCGGTGTTATCGTAGAGACGCCGTAGACGCGACCAGTCGAACGTGTTGGCCCAGTACTCTGGCTCTGTGCCGGTTTCGGGGTAGCCGCGGGAGTAGAGGCACGGTCGGGCGGCGTGGAATTCTTGGCCCCAGGGGTAGCATAGGATCTCGAGACTCTCGAGTGGAGGCGGGCGTTCACCGTTGTGTAGCCCCAGGCCGAGGTAGCCTGTCTCAGGCCCGGGGCCGTGGGCGAAGCAGCCGCTGCGCGGGTAGTCCAGGTCCAGAGACAGTGCGCGGAGGTTGGGACACGAGAGAAGGACTTGGCGTAGGGCCTGTGAGACGTCCCGGCAGTCTTGCTCGCGGACGTAGGTTATCTTTGCGCGGAGCGAGACGAGATTTGAGCAGGTGGTTAGAGTGTGGAGAAGGTCTTCGACCGGGACGTCGGTTTTGTCGAGTTGGGTCTCGGACTCGGCGGCCCGCGACGTCGGCTTGAATACGCACGTGAAGACGCGCTTCGGGGGTGTGTTTGAGGACCTCGGGCGGGAAGTGAGTGGAGAAAGAACGGTCCCAGAGGTGGATGTCCCATTTGATGCCACGCAGAGCTGTCATGGCTAGGAGG